TTTCTGTGGCAGCACAAATGGCAGCCCGTGCACCCACAGGTTCATTAAATAATACAAACTTGTTGCTCAAATGCTGGCTCCTTGTCCCTCTTTCGGTACATAATTCACAGCTTCCACCTTTTCCTGGCTCCGTCGGGCAGGTCCCAGGCCTGGACTTGTGGGAAACCGAGTGAGATAAAGACCATGTGATCTCAGCACCTATCTGTCTTCCTGAGAGAGATAGATGGTTTCCTTTCGTGCGGGCTGCAGAGCATCAGGAGACTTGCCGTGATCTCATTTCAGCTAAACCTGTGATAAATCGCGTTTCTTTTCCCCGACAGCCGCCACACTCTGGGTTCCAATTACATATTATTTACACACATGGGCCCATCTGGCGAATTTATTAGGGTCGGTCTACCTACGCTGCTGAATTTATCTCTTGATCTCCTTATTGAGTCCTGTCCTGATAAATTGGATGGATGCACTGCCTGGCTCAGCCGCATCGAGATCAACAGTCAGTTCAGTAAGCATGGTGAAGCTCAGTCTGGTAATATACTGGCAAACAGAGCTGCAGCAGTCCAGCCAGAGAGTGAAGGAGAGGTAGAGAGAGGCAGTAAGGGAGCGTGATCAGAGGTGAGGAGCCTTGCATTAGCGCTGATCGCGCGCCTGGGAGCTCGCCTCCATGCTGGGAGATACGGGGATGTGGACAAGCTCGATTAAGATGGATGTCTGGCCACATTAAGTGCTCCATCACGTCAGAGCCCGCAGCAATCTTGCAAATTGCCTTTTCATTACTGCCGGCTGTTTATTCAACCTGAAATCGCTAACCCTCCACCCCCCAGCTCCAAGACCCCCAGTCAACAGAGTAACCCCCCCCCCACACCTCTCACCCCCCAACCATCGCCACCGCTATTCTACAGCTCCCTGTCAGCAAGAAAAAGAGATTAAGATTCTACACTGACAAGAAAGGCTGGGCAAGGGAGAAGTCCATCTCTCTTGTGATCTTGCCAGTAGCTAATTGATCCACCAATGTCCCTGACCTGTTCCCTGCAGGACTATCAGTGGTGTGAGCAGCAGGTTTATGTGATCTTGCCAATCCAACCTGCACAGCAGCCCCCCATAGACAACAGCATCAACAGCACTGAAGCAAGAGCTATCTCAGGGGCATTATGGGGGGCTTGGGTTAACTTCCCATGGATTCCACAAAGCTGATATACCTATGGGGGGTGGGAGGGAGGTAATGGTGTGAGGGAGCTGAACTGCACATTTGTATTGAGTCAGATTGAGTCATGGGGACTGCTCTGTCCAGGAAGGCGAAGGACGTGTCTCACAACCCTCCAGAAATGTAGCACGTCAGTATTACTGCACACTGCACAGTGCATTAGTTTGATCTGGGAGATAGGATGGGAGGTCCTTGTATTTTTGCCAGCAGGTGTGACTCATTCTCACCCAGACCTGCTAAAAAGTCTATTATCTGCCAATCAATTATCTGCTGTAGGAGGTGGTTAAGGAACACTTAAGGAGCTACGTGCAGCTAACTAAAGGTCTTTCAGAAATGACAGGGGACTCTTTCTTTTTGACTGGGAGAGCTTTTCTTTTAATTTCATTTTTGCAGGCCCTGGTGCATGCAGCAAGTGCCAGATGTCTTCTCTGCCCACTTAATAACAGCTACCACAACCTGGCCGTAAGCGTACAATTCTAAATATAAAAATACTCCATGGCAACCGAGCCGAAGAAATTAGGAGAGCGTGGGAAGGGAGAGGGAGAGAGAAGAAGAAAGAGAAAGAGTGAATCTTTTTTTTTCTGTGGCTCCAAAAACTGTTTACAAGTCCTGTACATGTGCTGTGCAAATATTTACTGAAGCCCCTGGAGGTGTACTATTACAGAGCCATATAGGAATAGTTATTTGTCTCTCTTTCAGTATCTTTTTCAATTTGGAGGACACGGTACTTTTCATTTTATTCTTATAGTTTTCAGGCCCTATCCACCTGGGTGACAGACTTGCAGGCTTGATCCTTCCTGCCTCTTCTTTCTGTTGTCATATTAAAAGCCTGACAATGAAGGTTAACAATGCACTTTTTTCAGAAACATGTTTTGTATTCTTTGTTATTTAAAATGCTATTATTGAACTTCCAATTAAAAAAAAAATGACATTATGACAAATGACATTATGTCTTTCCCGGAGGAGTTAATGAAAATCAAATCATTTGTCCTATATATGCATCTCTAAGTACTGTACCCTGTGTTAACACCAGGCTCCTCTGGTTCACTTCTGACTCCCAGCGACATGCTGTCAGATTAACTAGCTATGCTAAACTGCCAGAATAGGGCTTCTGGGTTCGACATCTGACTTACTGACATCCTGTGTGTCACCTTGAAGGAGCTCTTGAGGTTCCCTGTGCCTTCCTGCCCTTCCGATTAGACAGAAATAATGCCCAGGTGCGGAAGTATGGCTGTCTCTGTTCCCTCAAAATTTAAACATTTTCTACATGACGAATTACATTTGTACTGTCGCTAATCCACTTCATGCTGGGACTCCTTCGCTGCCCATTTGGTGAAGCAGAAGAGTATCCAGCCCACCAGTTCTCTCGCTCCGCCAACGTCCTCTTCAGCTGGGCTGTTCTTTGCAATCCCAGACAGCAACAAAGGTTTAAAAAAGAGGAAAACAAAACTGTATTAGGCAGCTCTTTGCAAAGAGAGCTGTGGATGTCTGGAACATAATACTTCCCTGCGTTATGAAAAAACATACTAAAAAATACTGTCAAGAATCTGCTTAGCATAGTCTTGGAAGCTCCTAGCCTCCCAGACAGGAAGATACCCTTTAAGGTAACATTTCATGTTTTGAGTCTAAAGCTCTAATACTGACAAGACATTACAGGCAAAGAAAAACCTCAAAATGCATTCTAAGGGCCTACCCTGTGCAGAAACCTGAAATGGATCAAAAGGGGATCTTCATCTTGTATCCGGATTGCCATAAATCGATTGAAATCGATTGTGAGTGGCAGGGTCAAAATCGGGGATGGAAGTCCCCGGAGAGATGACTTGCAGCTAATGGGATTGAGCCCAGCCAGCTCTGTGGGAATCACTGGGCGAGCAATCAATAGGTATCAATCAATAGG